GTGATTGTGGGAACTACACTCACAACAAATAAAAACCATCAGGTGCTTTGGTGAAGATTTTTAAATGGGAGGAATTTAAGATAAACCATAGGGAAAGAATTTTTTGAAAAACCACCAATTTGTTTTTAAACAGCTAGAAGATATAACCAGAACCTGACATAACATGAATTTTGAATATGTTAAGCTTTATATATTAGCATATTATTTTGAAATCGGAAAGAATGTCAAAGATTGGCTTGCCTATCTATTTAGATTGCTGGTTAATGGCCAACCACCAAAGTATGTTTTTCAAGTATTTTGAGTCTTGTTTTTCTATTTTTAAATTTCTGGTCACTATACTACGCCATCCTTAGAAAGAAGTGTAACACATGTAACAATTTTAGTAATTCTTCACTTGCCACAACTGCAAACATTTCCACTAAAACATCCCAAACCTCCCTCTAGATTATCCTATTATTGCAACACACAGTGCATGGAAAAAGTATTAGTTCCCAACAACAAACTTTGGTTTCTGCCTAGGTTTAAAAAAAAATATTACTCTTACAGATAGAAACCGTCCTGAACAGCCATAAGTGACAGGCTTCCCCACCAGTTTAAGTGAACATTCCAGACCATCATCCCAGTTCGAACGCTGAGGAATAGGGTGTTGCCTCCATTGGGCCAATGGGACCAGAGACTTGTTGGGTTCTTGTGATAGCAGCTTCGAGTTGGGGAAAGCCGTTATCGCGAGCACTGATAGTGATAACCAAAGGCTATGTTTCAATGTCATGTGTACAACCTGAAATTCAATTCCTCCGCATGTCTTTGTACTAAATGTTTCCCGCTGCAAATGTTCCTGCGGATTTAGCCCTTTATTGCAGCATTTCAGGTTTTAAGTGGCTAGAGATGCGTGGTTTTGTGTGATAATCACTCAGGTTTGGGCACAGTTCCTTCTGAAATGACTAAGCTGATTTCAAGTGGCATTTATATCCAGAGATGGTAGAAAAGCCGTTATCCTGACTGAATCTGTCTCTTCATCTGAGGGTGAAGAAAATTAATTATGGGGTTGCCATGGGAGCAATGATGTTGCATATGATAACTGATCAGAGTTCTTCAGGCCAGTAGTAATCACATTTTTTTTTTAGGAAGGTATGTAGTCAATGTCATTTTAACATACTTTTCCCTAAATGTTTCCTTTAAGTTTTTACGATAGCGTACACAAAAAGGTTTCATTTATGACATTTTCATAGAGATGTTTGTTACATCTTGTTCTCATTTATTACCCACCGACTCTCCCTGTGCCCTCTACTTCCTTTGCTTACTTGAAACACACTTGAAAAATATACAAATGAATATGAACATGCACACACACACACACGTGTGCACACACATGCCTGCATGCACATATACCCACACATACACAAAGGTGGAAACATAGGAAGCAAAATGAATATTCCCAATGGTAGTAATAATATAAAATCAAGTTAGTTAGCAATATTCCGACTATGTCAATGAGTGATAGAGATAATGTTTTGTAAAGCACCATTACAAAAATATTTCTTAATATCAGCGTGATTTCGTCAATTCTATCATGCATCTGTGAGTAGAAAACATTAATGAAAGTGGCTACGTAGTCATGAAGTTTTTCATCAGATTTTAGACTATTCTCAGCGTTATAGAAAGATGAATGAAAGTGGCTATGGGTTCATGAAGACTCTCATCAGAGTTTACAATATTCTCAGCATTATAGAGAATTCACAAAGGTAGTACAGAAGGGCCTGGTGTCCTACCCCCTTGGGAAGCCATCAGTCACAACTAAAAGAGTAATGTCGGCTCACTGAGTCTGAACTCCACTCCCATATCCAGTTGCTTCACCTAATGTCTTCTCTCTGCCCCTCCCTCCGGTAACCACTCTGTTACCTCTCCTCCTGTCCTTTCCGCTGTGACTTTCTAGAAATGCTCTTGTATTTTGCAGAACCGTGACAGTGTCTGTGTGCAGAGCATCACTCTGCTGGGCTCTGTCTACTTTCCTTGTATTTAGAAGGAGCGTTTGGTTTCTGGAAGGAATCACCGTGTTATTCTCTTCTTGTTATTGTAAAGATTTATTTGGGCTTTATGTGTATAAGTATTTTGTCTGCATGTGTGTGTGAGAGAGACATGCAGCAGAGGCCAGTAGCGTCCCCAGGAACTGGAGCTACATATGGTTTTGAGTCCCTAGGTGTGTGCTGGGAACAGAATCAGGGTCCTCTGCAAGAGCAGCAAGTGCTCTTAACTGCTGAGGCACCCGTCCAGCACTGAATAGTGCCAAGTTTATTACATGATATCAAAGGCACATGCCAGCAGGCTAACTGCCCTTGGTTTGGGCTCCTCTTGTTGTTACCACTCTCCTATCACCTGACTAAAGCATCCTGTGAAAGGGTAGTCTCTCTGCTGGCAAGCAGCACTCGTGCAAAGAGGCTGTCTTAGAGGCAAACGGACTCTGCCTTTACACTGAGCAAGGAAAACAAACAATTCTGTCAGACTTCTTAGCACTAATGCTAGGTTTCATTAAAGGATCACTAACAAAGACTATCAAGAAAGTGCAATGAATTAGGAAGCGGAATGGGTCAAATTCCAAACCAGTGTTAGCTTGAATAGTCACTTTGTGAAAGTGCAACCGAGCCCCCTCTCCCCGACACACCCTGCGAACTTACTTAGATTCTGTGCATATGCTGGATTTAAAGGCTTTAGTCTCATTCATTGTAGCAAGAGGTTATTTATGACTCGTGTTTAATGCTTTCCCCTATACTACCCACTGAGCCATGTCTACAGCGCTGAAGTGGTGTGGAAGACTTGAGGTTGTCCCTCTAGCTTTAGCCTGTGTGTCACAGTGTTTCCTGTGTATGGTTTTTAAGAGTTTGCAAAATACTAAGAAGGGTTTTAATAAATTTTATTCTGTGAAATTTATCATTTTGAACATGTACAGCTTCTCACTTCCATGCTCATTCTATTTAGTAATCTAGTTCCAGATTTTGTATCCCACCAATGTATTTATTAGGGAACCACACACAGTTTCTGACGACATGAGTACAAGAGTAACCATGCTTGGCTACTTCACAAAACCAAAATAACTGTGGGTACTCATAACCGAAGAGATAATCCAGATTCTCTTTCCTGTAGTTTGTGTTTCTGGGGTTTTATTCCATTGAGTAGATTTTCTCATTTACCCGTGTACAGTAATAGACTCCCTGGAAGTGCTACAGTTTTTGCCGTGTGGTAGATTTGAGCATGACGATACTGTAAGAAACTCAGAAGTCTCTAAGTGTATCTGAGTTTTTAAAGTAAATCAAATAACAAGTGTTTTCATTTAACTATATTGTGGAGATTTATGGATATTATTGTAAAATGCATATGCATTATACCGATTTTCTTAAACTGTTTTGAATTAATAAAGAATTCTCCCATGTAAACCTGTAGACAAGTTGTTTGCTCATTGGTGTACGGCTATCTGAGTAGAATGACTGTGGATTCTTCATGCCGTGATGGAACCTTAGATTAGCCTTAAATGAACTGACATCTTGGAGGGTGCAGTGGAGAATTTCTGATGCTAAATTCAAAGTACCCTCACCACGATTTCTAAGGCAGAAAAAAAAATAACTTCAAAATTGAGTTTGGAGTTTGAAAGAACTTTTCCTAATAGAAAACCACATGATAATACTTTTCTGTACTCAGGTCAGAATCAAAACAAAACGGGCTCTCAGCCTCCATTTTACAGCTAAACATTTACAGGGTGTCGCTTGAATACACAAGGATGAGGGAAAGTTGAGGTACTGGAATTGCTTGCAGTTATTTGAAGGGACACTATTTCTTCTCTTCAGTACCTTTGTGTTTGATGATAAGGATTGATTAGATATAATGCAAAATTCGTTTTTTTAATTTTGTAATTAATAGTTTTGTTTTCACCTTGAGTACCCTTTCTTTACCATTTTATTTTACAATGAGGATAGCTCGTTCAGCAATGAACCATTAAAAAATAAAAACAACAACAACTAGTAATCCTGTAGACTGAGCTTCAATCCCTGCTTCCCTGCTTTCCCAAGACTGGCTTGGCTGTATTTACCCACTTCCGGTACCCACTTCTCCCGTGGGCTGTGGTTAAGTCTTTTGAAGTTGCAAATGCTTCAGTTAGCAGTTAGGATGGGATGGATACTAGAAGCAGGCCTTTGATTTTTTCTTTGCAGGGCTGGAGACTGAGCCTTGAGCAAGCTAAGGGAGTACTCCCCCTGTGAGGAACAACTCCAGAACAAAAGAAGGAAGGTTTATGAAGGCTTTGTTGCGTTGTATTTTGTTACTTTTAACATGCATTTGCAGGAGGGGGAGAGTGGACCAAAAGCAAGAGAGGGAAAGAGCAATAGAGAGCTGGACTGAATGGACAGGAATGTGAGACAGGAAACCGCGAGAAAGCTGGTAAATGACGTGATGGGGACGATAGGAAAACAGAAACGTTCTGTAGCGTCACTAGGAAGTCGTAGTAAGTTACACCTGTCTTGAGAACTAATCTAACTCATTTGTCAGAAAATGAGAGTAGGCAAAAGAAGTGGGGAAAACACTGATGACCATTTTAAAAGTCACTCTTAGAGATTGGGAACAGATGACCTCCGTGGCTGTACCTCTGCGTCTGCAGGGTACTTGACTATCCACAAGGTTCTTCACGTCCCCGCGCAGACTAGGAAAGCAAAACCTCACTGTCGAATACCAAAGCCTCAATTCACTTCAGGCTTGTCCCCGAGGAATAGGACTGGGGGCGCGTCCAAAACCAGCTCGGAGGCGGGGTCAAGGCTTCCGAGTTGGCATGGGGGCGGGGCCGAGGCCAGAGCCACGACTGGAGGCGGGGCCTATGCGTCTGAGTTCCGCCTGGAGGCGGAGCCAAGGCGCTGGAGCCCTTCCCCGGAGGCGGGGCCCAGGCGGCTGAAATTTCCCTCCTCCCGTAGGTGGAGCTGAGGCTCTGGAGCCCTCCCCGGAGGCGGGGCCGAGGCCTTGGCGCTACCCACGCTTCCCGGAGATCCAGCCTAGGCCGCGGAGCTCTGCCCTTGCTGGTCTAGCCCAGACGGCGGGTCTCTGCCCAAGGAAACTGCGCTCAGGCGGCGGAGCTCTCCCCATGCAGGCGGGGCCGAGGCGGTAGAGCTCTGTCCGGTGGAGGGGCCGAGGCCTTTACGCTCCTCTCCCTCCCCTTGGAGATAGAGGCCAGGCCGCTGCACCGTAGCATCACCCTTGGAGGCGGGGCCGAGGCTTCGGAGCCCCCCTCTCAGAGGTAGGGCCGATGCCAAGGTGCTCCCTAGTCCGGGCGACGTAGACGCATTGGCGCTCCACCCCTGGAGGCCGGGCCGAGGCGTCGGACCCTCCCCCTAGGAGGCGGGGCCGAGGAAGCCGGCCTTCCCCCACCCCCTCGGAGGCGGGGCCGTGGCATTGGAGCGCCCCTTCTGGAGGCCGGGCCGTTGCGTCGCAGCATCTCCCTAGGAGGCCGGGCCGTTGCTTCGCAGCATCCCCTTTGGAGGCCGGGCCGAGGAAGTCGAGCTTCCTCTCTGGATGTGGGGCCGAGGCATTGGAGCACTCCCTTTGGAGGACGGGTCGAGACTTAGAGGAGGCGGGGCCGAGGAAGCCCAGCTTCTACTGGCAACCCGGGGAGGCGGGACCCAGGCCTTGGAGCTCCCAACCCCTTGGTGGCGGGGCCTGGGGTTTGGAGCCCCTCCCCCTGGGCGGGGCCCAGGAGTCAGCGCTCGGGTTGGAGGCGGGGCAAACTTCCTGTGATCGCACCGCCCCCTTACCTTTTGGCCTTTAGAAACCTAGAGGCTTTCCCACACTTCGCCGGAAGTTCTCGCAACGTTTCCGGCAGAGTTTTTAAAAGCTGACCTGGAAGCTCGGCTCCGAGTCCTCCCGAGATCTCGGGTTGCTCTGCCTCCGGCCCCGGGAGGCTGGTCGGCCGGGATGCGGAGCGGGTTCCTGAGCGGTGCCCGGCGCCTGTGGGCCCTCCGCGCCTTCAGCCGCACTGCGCCGCCGCCCGAGGAGCTCTTCGCCCGCGAAGGGCCTCTCCGGGCCTTCCTGGAGCGCCGTGCGGGCTCGGAGGCCGGGGCTCTGGACGCCGGGGAGCCTCAGCTGGCGGCGGCGGCTCGGCTGCTCAGCGAGAAGGAGCGGGAGTTGCGGGACACCGAGTCCTTGCTGCACGGTAAGCCGCCCGCTGCAGCGCGTTTGAAGCCACCCGCGTTCCCGACCTCGTCACTGGGGTTCTGATAGCCTCCGGCAGGCTCGGCAGGGATCCCTTGACTTGGTGCTCTGCCGGCCTGTCCTCAGAAGCTTCTCAGGTTCTCGGTTGCCTTCCCTATCGTCCTGGCAGCTCAGATGCTCAGGAAAGACGAGGTAGTCGTGCCTGCGACAGGCTCTGCAGCCCGGTGACTTCATGGTATTCACCCGTTAATGTGAGGTGCTATGTAATGTATAGTTAGAATCCTAGACCAGGAAATCCGAGTTCTCAGCACGTTTCCCCGAGATTCCGCTGCATTAGAGGCTAAATCGGAAGCCGAAGCGTCTGCGTTACTGAAGCCTCCAGAGACGCCCCTGCCCAGTAGACCCCACTTGGGAATTTTAGACTTGATTCTGAGAATTGTCTCATTGAATAAAGTGGGAAGAGGGATTGAGGTTGACTCCTGATATAAGCCTCGGGGCTCCACTTTCACGTCGTGCACACATACGCAAACGTGTACTCAATAGACACACACACATGAAAATGGGAATAAAAAGTAAGGACTTTTAATTTCAGGTTAACGAGACGTGCTGAAGAACAGAAAGAGGTGGTTAGGTGGTATTAGAGAAGTGACCAGACGGCAAGTGTGATCTAAATGGAACGAGTGAGTGCAGTATGGCAGACACAAGAATAGGTGTGGGAGATGGCAACGGAAGAGAAACGTGGAACCAGAAACACAAGGCCTAGAGTTGTTCGGGCAGGGAAGTGGCATTATCTAGGGAAAGTCGACCGCAGAGTTAGTGTGAAGAATAAATGAGTCAGGAAGAAGCTAATTACCATTCAAAGGAGATGCTATGGTAGGTAGGCACAGAATTGTGACCTGCAAGGCACTAAGAAACAAGGTTTGGTGATTATATCATACACATAGTTGGGCGGAATTACAGGGGGGTAGCTTCCTTCATCAGAATGAGTTCAATAATTTAAGATACAAGTTGAGTTTCATTGAGGGGATAGAGCTTTGCCATTGGATGCATATTTAGGTAATAAAAATAATCCTATAAGGATACTGGAACAGATTTCCATGTTGGCCTAGGAGAACTGTGGCGTAGGAGAAAGCTGTTGAGCATGAATAGGCAGAGGGGTCAGGGTAGATACTAAAAGATGAAAATTTATAGAGACCGTAACAGGGACGAATTGCGTAGTACAGCACATTTAGAGCAAGAGGAGAAGAAAACCTTTGAGACTCGGAAAGAATTCACTAACTGAATCTGTAGAAACCGGTTACTTACACGAAACGAGATCGTGCGAGCACCTGACTTAGGATGTTCTCATCTTTTCCAGCTTAGACGGAAAAACAACTTTAAATTTGGCAGCTTTACCAAAGAGAATTTTAATTAAAAGTCTGATTTGTGTAATCAGGAAATCTAAAAACAACTTCTAGTTATCGAGAGTTATTTGGTGTTTTCTTTCCCAACACTTGGGGCGAAGAAACTGGAGTTCACAAGCTTAAAGAATTGGAAGAGACAAAACCTCCCAAAGTGAGAAGCCCCAGAACTTAGAGCTATAGTGTTGCCCTATGGAAGGCCCTGCGTGTGTGCCGTCCCACCTCCCATCAATGTAGATTCTTCATAGGCCAGCGTACACTCTTAAACTGTGTGTTTGTTTGATGTTTCAGAGAGCAAACAGTTTGTAATCCCCTTTCCTAGGCTGCATATGTCCATAGAACAGAGCAGCGGGAATGAGAAAGTAGATCTCTAAGTCACAAGTGAGAACTCAAAATAATCAGGAAAGCAGGGATGGAAGGAATAGACCTGTGTGAACACTGGACAGACGCCAGCAATGCTTTCGGTCAGATACCTATTTTATCTCAAGGAAATGTTCACTAAGACTAACTTTGGACTGGAGCTTTCAATTTTGGCTTAGCTGTTAAAACCTTTTGCGCCTCTCCTGGGTATTGTAACTAGTTAAATGCATCTATTTGGTATTGTGAAGCCTAACTTGGCAAATGGAGTCTGTTTGTTGGGGCTGGAGCGAAAGCACAACTGTGGAGAGCACTTACTGTCCTTGCAGGAGACCCAGATTGTGTTCCCTGCACCCGCGCAGCAGCTTACGGCTGTCTGTGACTGCAGCCATAGGTGGTCCAGCACCCCAGTCTGTGGGCACAGCATACACTTGTGGCACATACATCCCTGCAGGCAAATACTCATACATGTCAAATAAAACCAGTAGACATTTTTTAAATTTAACTTTATACGTATGAGTATTTTGCCTGTGTGTATACATGTGTACCACATGCATGCCTGGTGCCCACGAAAATAAGAAAAGGGTGTCAGGTCCCTGGATCCAGAATTAGAGATGGTTGTGAGTGAGCATGTGAAGGCTGCGAACTGAGCCTAGGTCCTCTGCAAGCGTAGCAAGTGCTCTTAATTGCTGACCCGTTTCTCCATCCCTTAATTTCTTTTTTTCTCTTAAAGTCTATTATCATGACTTCCGTGGAGGTGAATTTAGCACTAATTAAGAAAACATAACTGTTGTTCTTCCTAGACGAGAATGAAGAGTTAAAGAAACTTGCAGAGAGTGAGATAGCTCTGTGTCAGAAAGAAATAACTCAGCTGAAGCATCAGGTATGGTATGTACACAACGAGTAAAACATCTCTGCCCTTAGTCCTTACGTTTCATCGCAGGCTGATAAGAGTCCAGGGAAGTAGCCTGTTACTATTTAGATAGAACTGTGTCTGCAAGTGTGTTTGTATACCGCAAACCTGTCTGGTGCGGGCTGGAGGCCAGAGGAAGGTGTCATATCCCTTGCAAATGGAGTTACAGATTGTTAAGTTGCGTGAAGTGGGTTCTGGAACTGAACCCAGGTCCTCTGGGAAAGTAGTCATTGTTCTTAACCCCTGAGCTATCTCCATCTCTCCAAGTCTTGACTTCTTTAGCTCGTGTCTTTCTTGCTGGCTTACAAGTGACAAACTGGAGGCCGACAATGTGATGTTTCCTAGTATGCACGTTCCATGAAGGGATTGCCAGGGTCAAAGGAGATTCTAATGCGGAAAAAGACATGCTTCCTATTTCCCACATTTTCCATGCTACCAGAGTACAGCTCTCACTGATAAATTTACATATCAGCTCTTACTAGGAAGGCAAAGGCGAAAAGATGCGTTCAAAAGACAAATCTGCTTTTGCTTGTTTTCTTTTCATTGTGGGTAGACAGTAGATAGGAAAGAGTCCCTGGGATGAGAATGTGGCTTTTATCTCAGGATTGACACAGTGCCAGAATTCTGAAACTTCCAGAATCAGTAGTTTTCCCTCCCATGTTAAGGACGCTTAACTGGCAAATGCAAGATGAGGACCTCTCCTTTCTCCTTGCCTTCCTTATTAGGCTTGTGTTTGAACAGAGGAGAATTTCTTTTACATTCTACGTGTGTAAATGCTCCCAGCATTTAATTCCAAAGTACCTGAGTAGGGAATTGATAGAAAGCGTGTAAGATTTCCAGATTGGGGGGTGGGGCGCAGTACAGTTATTAGGGTGCTTTCCAGCATCATGAGGTCTTGCGTTCAGTCCTCAGCACCACATAAAATCTGGTGTGGTGGTGCACACCTGTATTCCCAGCACTGACGAGGTGGAGGCAGGAGCATCCAAAACACAAAAGAGAGAATTCCAAGAAGAAATAAAGACAAACCCATCAAAAGTAGATGCGTTTCATAATATTTAAAATGTAACTGAAAATTAATGCCTTAATGGAAGTTATGCAGTATACGTTTTTCGTTAGCAAGATGATCAAACTATATGGAAGAGCAATATTAGATGATTTGTGTAAAGAAACTCAGGTTACATATCTAAATCCTCTAATGGCATAGCTTTGGGCATTAGTGTGAAGATTTCTTAGTTACAGGAAGGCGCTGTCTTTGTATTTACAGATCATCTCACTTTTGGTTCCTCCAGAAGAAACAGATGAGAGTGACTTGATCCTGGAGGTGACTGCAGGTGTGGGTGGTCAGGAGGCCATGCTTTTCACCTCTGAGATGTTTGACATGTACCAGCAGTATGCTGCGTTTAAAAGATGGCACTTTGAAACGCTGGAATATTTCCCAAGTGAACTAGGTCAGTCTCTCAGTTAGGTTCCTCTGGCTGTGATAAACATGACCAAAAGCAACTTGGGGAGGACAGGCTTTGTTTCATCCTTCAGTTTATAGTACCATGAAGGGACATCAGGGCAGGAGCTCCTGGATGTGGAGGCAGGAACTGAAACACAGGCATGGAGGAAAACTGCTTACGCTTGTTCCCTCTGGCTGCTTAGCCTGCTTTTATTACACACCCAAGACCATCGCCCAGGGGTAGCGCCACTCTCTACCTCATCCAGTGCCCCTCGCACATCAGACATCAATCAAGAAAAGAGCTCACAGACTTCCCTACAGGTCAGTGTGTAGTCATTTCTCAGTGAAGTTGCTTCCTAGATGATCTTAAACAGCACAGTTGTAAGTGGATGGATTTGTTTTTGTAAAGCATCGATTTATCAACAGTGTGTCCTGGGAAAGGGTTGGCAAGATGATGATCAGAACTTATTTGTAAGGACTAAATTATTTACCTAATGATTTTATATAAAAGTAGAGTTTTGAAACTTTCTGTAAAGTATGATGGAAAACCATTCCATGATAATCACTTACCACTTTGAAAATAGGTTGTATGATACCCTGGCCTCACATCTGTAATCTTAGCATGCAAGAGGCTGAGGTGGGAGAGTTACGCTGTTCAGGACTAGCCTTGGCTACAGGAGAACCTGTTTCAAAAAGAAACCAAAAGGGTGGTCTTTTAGCTGTTGCTGATGTGAATTCAGCGGTGTTGTAGTTTAACAACTGAACAGAAACAGTTATACGTTAAGATACTGGGAAGCTGGCCCAGTGAAGAGCACTTGCTGCTCCTGCAGAGGACTTCAATTCAGTTCTAGGCACCCACACGGTAGCTCACAACTACCCACCACTCAGTTCTAATAGATCTGATGCTGCCTTCTGACTCCGCATGCACCTGGCTCACGTGTGTTACACATACATACTTGTACACTCAGACATAAAATTAAATAAATGCTTTAAAAATTCAAGATTATATTTTGAAACACCAGACCAAAGACTTGCTAAAGTTTTTCAATGTGTTTGTACTCTATCATTAGCGTGTGGCTCTTTCAGCTCTATTTCATGAGAACACATGTGGTGGTCAGTTTAAACAATGCATGGCAGAATGGTAAGAAGGACCCCGTGCTCCCTGTTTCCAAGGCGGCCTTAGGCATGCGTCCGCCAGCATTGGAGGCCCAGAAGCCTACAAACACATGAAGTTTGAAGGAGGGGTGCACAGAGTGCAGAGAGTGCCGAGGACCGAGAAGCAAGGCCGCATCCACACCAGCACCATGACCGTGGCGATTCTGCCCCAGCCTACTGAGGTAAAGCAGTAACAGATCTCGCTCAGGGCTGCTCCCAGCCACTGTCTCCTGTCATTTGGTCCTCCTTTCATGTCTTGAGTTACTCTTGAAAATTTGATTCAAGAAGTGTAATTTTACAACAGAGGGTAAGAATAAAAATGTGTATAGGTTGTCCAGATTTACACCAGGGTTTTTCTCCAGCAGTAAAGGGGCATTGTACACCTCCATCGTGGGTCAGGTAATGCTGTGAACTGATTGCCTGCCTCCCTTCGCATTGCAGTGTGGGTTCTCCAGATGCCATCGGGAAAGGACTAGTCACTCAGCACAGTTGCTGCCTCTGACCCAGCTGTAGTAGAAGGGCCCAGAGTGTGTGTCTTACTTCACAAAGCAAGTTCTCAGTGTGTAAGATAACAACCTACTTTGTTAATTTGTCTTCTGCAAAAAGTGACAAATTAATTCACTTAAAAAATGAGAGATAAATGAGTTGAAGATTTCTTCCTATTATTTTTAAGAAAAAGTACTACTTAGATGTCTGGTAGGGTTGAAAGGCTTTTTTTTTCCTTGGTTTAATATCTGTGAGAAGACTGAGTGAGGAACAGAGGAGCTGAGGATGGGCAGCAGAGTTTGGTGTCAGGAACCCTGATAGCTTCCAGGATATGGGAGTGAGGGCCAGGTTCTGTCTAGCTTTCCTAGCAACTCTTAAGGGCGTTATCTTACTGCAGGATGATTGACATGCCATAGAGCAGTCTCTAGTTGCTCACTGGACACAGTTTTAACCATCGTGCTTCTGATGTTCTCTCCTGGGATGACGCATCATCCTGTTTGATTCCAGTGTCATGATCTTTGCCTCCAAATTACAGGTGTAACGTTTTAGAAATGGTATCCCCTCTCTCCCTAAAACAGTTTCATGAACTCAAACTGCTATTAGTTTTTGTTTCATCTGCTAAAGTTTTTGAATTCAGTAAAACTCTACATTTTCTACTTTTTTAAAAAAAATTGTGGCCGGGCAGTGGTGGCGCACGCCTTTAATCCCAGCACTCGGGAGGCAGAGGCAGAGGCAGGCGGATCTCTGTGAGTTCGAGACCAGCCTGCTCTACAGAGCTAGTTCCAGGACAGACTCCAAAGCCACAGAGAAACCCTGTCTCGAAAAACCAAAAATAAATAAATAAATAAATAAATTAATTAATTAATTAAAAAAATTGTGTTTGTGCATGTAGATCTGGCCTGTGGAGGCCAGAAGAGGGCAGGGATCGACTGGAGCTGAAGTTACAGGAGGCTGGGAGCCACCTGATGTGTTGACTAAACTCAGGTCCTCCGTAAGGGCAGCACAGGCTCTTCACCGCTGAGCCATCTCTTCAACCCTGAATCTCCTATTTTTAACTGTCCCCAATTGCATCATTTGTGAGGAAAAAGCTCAATTTTTGAGGATTAGGGAGTGTTGCTTTTGTTCCCTCCATTCAAAAAAGAAAAAAAAAACATTTAAATTTAAAATAATATCCTAACTCCAGTCTATTTTTAAACTTTTAAATTTTATGTGATTTAGGTATGACATGTATTTAACAGTGTGTAGGTCTCACCTGAAGGCAGTTAATACATACAACTGCTTCTTAAAATTGCAGCTTTTCTTTGTGTGTGTAGATCAAACTGGTGATTAATCCTAAAGATTTGAGAATTGATACTAAGAGAGCCAGTGGAGCTGGAGGGCAGCACGTGAACACCACGGACAGCGCAGTTCGAATAGTCCATCTTCCCACAGGTAGGTACCGGGTTTTCACGGGAAACTCTGAATCAAGATCAGTTTCTGGGGACTGACTGATTTTCCACTGAAGCAGATCTTCAGTTCCCAAAAGGAAAGAAACCGTTAAGGACTCTTAACTAATGACTTGATTCTGTAGGTTCTGTAGCTGATGCTGTGTAGGATACAGAGTCAAGGAGAGGGAGGGAAGGCTAAGCACAGGGCTCTCCATGGTAGTGACGATGAAGAGAACAGAGTCCTGCCGCCTGCCAGGTGGGTTTTCAAATATATGCTTAATAGATTTCACTATTTCAGAAAAAACCTCAGTGAGATAATTACCTAAATTATTTAACAGAAAGTGTTCTAAATCACTAGTTATTAGCAGTAGGGCTAAGATCGTAACAAGAACCCTGGTGGCAATAGAAGCATTGAACATGGTACATACACACAGTCTTAGATACAGTTTCAGGAGCATCTTTCTGTGGCGACTGTAAAGTCCACGACAATCTGAATCTAGATAACTGGGCAAACGAACTGTACTCTGCTGAGAGAACCATGCTTTTTAAGTACTACTAGAGTACTGGAGTGGCTTGTGAGGGTCAAGGATGCCAGGTTTATACTTTTCAGACGTCCCTTAACTAGAACAAATTGTCATAGTTCCTGCTAACCAGTAGTTAAGAAGACTGGTGGGCAGGTAGGATTTTATCCTTTTAACTACAGAAAACCATTAAATATTGAGGTGAAGAGTGGAATGTATAACTAGAAATAGATAAAAAGTTCTGTTAACTCTAATACTAGGATTTGTACTTCTATATATGTTCATTTTTATACGCCTTTTAAGATTTTGATAGCTAACTGAGGATGTGAAGAAGAAATGTATTAAAAATATTTAAAGTCTTCTGTTAAACTCTCGATTTATCTCAGAAAAGAAGAAAAGGGGTAAGAAAGAAGAGGAATAATCCTTGATAATAAAGATTTTTGTACTAAAACCAATACTCATATTGTTATTCAGGTATTGTTTCTGAATGCCAGCAAGAGAGATCTCAGCTGAAGAACAGGGAGCTGGCTATGAAAAAGTTACGTGCAAGGCTATACAGCCTGCATCTAGAGGAGGAAACTGCAAAAAGATACAATGCTAGAAAGATCCAGGTAAGAATGGGTTTCAGAAACGGGTAGTGTAGTTTTTACATTAGTACTGTTCTTGTTTGTATTATAGGGCAGTACCCATGGAGAGCTTTACCCTGTTTTCTATAGTCAGAGGTGTTTGTCTTAGCTTTGTCAGAGTGGACCACGTCCCTACTCAGCTGTTAGTCCTTTGAGCTTTTGGAAGCAGGAATACTGAAGCGTGAACCTAGTGTTTTATATTTGATTTTATGCCATACACAGTCCTTCCATGACTTCTTTAGTATGACCACCCATCACCTTATCACCACTCCGGGATAATGAACTCCCAGAGATTACATACACATAAAATGTACACATAAATGTGCTGCTTCTGCTGTTTGAATATCATCCATTTGCCAGACTCTGTCATTATGTCATCAGTATTTTGCTGATGGGAAATTAAAGTTTAGAGTTGAAGAGGCAGAGGCAGGACCCAGGTACTGTGTCTGTACAGTCCACCTCTGTTCTCTGTGTCATTAATCAGGGACATAGACTTGGTTTTTGCGTTGCTGTAGGCCTCCTGGATCCTCATTCATCTCATCTTTCTCTCTCTTTCTCCCTATTCTTTAGGTTGGAACAAAAGGAAGATCAGAGAAAATAAGAACCTACAACTTTCCACAGAACAGGGTCACAGACCACAGAATAAACAAATCACTACATGACCTTGAGAGCTTCATGCAAGGAGACTGTCTTCTGGATGGCATGATACAGTCACTGAAGGACTATGCGGATTACGAATCTCTAGTAGAAATGATTTCCAGAAAAGACTAAGCTATTGTATAAAGCTATTTTTTATATATAGACTAGGAAAATCCTAGAGTGAATCCTTGTGTGCAAGTACTTAACCGGTATTCCTGAGGAATGTAAGTTAACAGTTTCTCGGACTCTTCTCTATAAAAATTAGACACAATACTAAGCAGAAATATCTATGTTTTTATGATATAAAGAGACAGAATCTGATAGTGAAATTAACAAGCAATAAAAGTCAGGTACACTGGGACTGGGAAGGAATGGCCTACATGAAGTTCCTAGAGTTCCAGAGTCAGGTCTCTTGCAGGGCATGGTGTAGCCCACTCAGTGGTGCAAAAGTTCTGGACTGCCCTGCAGCTGGGAACGTGGGCCTTGCAAACAGAGTACCTCAAGCTCATGGGGCCTGGTAAGCAGAAAGCCTCTTGTTAAAATGTGAACAAAATTTCCCTAATAATAAGCCTTGGTGGGCTCCTGTATCAGTTCCCCAGAGAAACAGAACCGAGAGGATGTAGCATGCATCCACAGAGATGCACTGTAAGGATGCCCACATAGAGCACTCTGTGTCCAAGATCCACAGTATGAATCAGCTGGGAGGAGACCAAGAAGAGGCGATGGTTCACTTCACTTCAGAGGGAGTTTGCTGGGGAATGTTCTCTTGTTTGGAGGAGGCTGGGTTTTCTCTATTCAGGCCTTCAGCTGGGTAAACATGCTACGTTGCCCATTAGTGAGACGTAGATTAACTGACATTTCACTGATTTCAATGACAGTGCCATCCAAAACTTGAGAAGATCTAAAGTAATCTGTTACCAAATACACTGGTAACAGCACGCCAGATCTGTGAAGTAGAATAATGGTTTCTTTCCAAGAGTACCCCTAGAGACTGTACCATGGAAGAGGAGAAATGAAATGTCCTGCCCTGCTTACAGTGTTTCTCCACCACCTGCTGCCGACAAGCTTCACAAACTAACCACAAAGAAAGGTACAGGCTGCCGTAGTTTCAATGTCCCCTTCAAAACCCAGGTGTTGCCAGTGTGATATTAAGTATGGCAGCTTCAGAACTAAGGTTTTAAGAGTCCCTTCTGAATGGGGCTAAAGTCTTAACTGTCAAACACCCAGAGTCACTGCCCATTTTCAATAATGTTTTCATACATTTAGTGTCTGAAATAAATTGCAAAGAAGACATTTCACTCTCACACATATCAACTGGCACTACTTATTCATATATCAATCATCACACATCAAAATTCATGTTAAATCTCAAATACTTAAAACTAATAGTTGAGATTTCTCTGCTTCTTCTCCAGATGTGTTGGAGCTAACTTCCTCAAACTAAGATCTAACTATGTGCATAATCCAGTGGGTTTACCCTTAAGAGACCCCTGATCCTGATTTTCAAGACATTGCACTGGATTTTTATCTGTGTGGATCAAACTAGATATTTTGGTACTATGTGAGTTGTTTGGACATTAACACTTGAGACTTGGCCAGTTTACCCATACCTGTTTGGGTGGAAGCGTCACCCAGCCCCTGGCATCCATATACCCAAAGAGTCTGGAATGTTTGGGTTAAGTCCACACCACAGCCCCTGGCATCCATATACCCAAAGAGTCTGGAATGTTTGGGTGGCAGTTCCATCCCAACCCTCCTCCCCTGCGAGTTGCCTCAGTCCAGATTCTAAACCAAGCCAAACGATGACTCCACCCCAGAGATGTTCAAGACCACTCCCACCCCAAGAACAAACTGGTCTTCTTTTCCCATTTTCTTTCTGGGGGCTGGAGAGCCATCCAGGAGCGTTGGTTATTCATTAAATCTGGGCTTTTTCTAAATTGGTCTGATTTGGATTATTGTTTCGGTGGAAAGGTTTATCAGAGTAGAGAAACTTTTCAATTCCGTTTCTTGTGACTTAGTACTGTTGTTGCAAAAAAAATCCTATTGAAATGGAGAAGGTTTGACCGTTCCTTGCCACTAGGATTTAGGAGCCTCTAGCCTAAATAATAAAGAAATAATGAGGCACTTTCCCAGATTTTCTAGAATCAGCTATAGTCTTAAGTTTTTAGGAACAATTAGAATGTGCTTCTCTTAAATCAATTATATATAAATACATATACATATATATAATTATATTTCAGTACACTTTATACTGAGGACTTAGTGTCTCTCTCTCTACTAGAAAGTGAGCAGTACAAAACCATTAATGATAGGCAAGGGTTTTCAAGCTGTCTACAGTATTTAATACAGAAACCAAGTAGCGTGAACAGAATCCTTCCCTTCTAATCTCATGGAAGGTACTTTACCTTTAAAAATACTTCTTAAATCTGCCTTTCATATGTATGGGTGTTTTTCCTGCAGGTGTGTCTGTACACGATGTATCTGCAGTACCCGTGGATGCCAGATTAAGGTGTCTGATCCCCTGGCATTGTAGTTCCAGTTAGTTGTGAACAGCCAGTGGGTTCTCTGAAAAAGCAGCAGTACTGATGTATTTTTAGGACAGAGTCATTTATAGTCCTTGCGTGATTGATGCATATGTTCGTTAACAGCTGTGATGATGATACTACAACATGCTTATTTTTTGAAATAGGAAATTTTTGTTTTTTCAAGAAAGGGTTTCTCTTTGTAGCCTTGGCTGTCCTGGAACTCACTTTGTAGAACAGGCTTGCCTGAACTCACAGAGATCCATCTGTCTGTCTCCAGAGTGCTTCCATTAAAGGTGTGCACCACCACTGCCTGATCTTGGACTCCGGAAGTCTTGCCTAAAGGGACTGGGTTCTTTTTTTTGCTTTTTCACCTCAGTTCCTCAAGAATACCTCCCCCTAGTCCTGGAGGAATCAAAAGTCCTTGCACTCTCTTGACTAGCTCTGAAATCCTATTAATTACAGGGAAATTTGACTTAGACTTCTAAGCACAACCATTATAAGTGAAAATAATGCTAAGATTATTTAAGAATGGCAAGCCAATGCAACATTTTTCTTTCTCAGCCAGCATTTTAAGAGGTCTGCTGCCTCTGGAGCCCACATCCATTACTGTACACACAATCCACCAACGCTTTGTACTCAGTTCGCACTTCTCCATTAGTGGATATTTACACAACCCTCTCTCTTGTACAGCATTTTTAAAAAAAAAAATTTTTTTCTTTTTCATGACATGGTTTTTCTGTGTAGCCCTGGAACTCAATTTTCTGCCTCCCAATTGCTTGGATTAAAGGTGTGTGCCACCATACCCCATCAGACAGCATTTTAACATTCATTTATCAAATTAGCTGAGATCCCTGTGCAGTGCGAGCAAAAGAAATATACAAGTTCACCCGGAAATCTACAGCAGACCCCAGATCTAGCTTTTCCCTTTCCGATTCCCTTGCCTGGTGAGCTGCAGGCGCTTTTTAGGCAGTGCTTTGCAAGGTCGGTGAACTTAGCTGACCATTCAAAATTCTCAACCCACGACGTCTCTATTTACAGTTCTTTTGCCACTTGCGTTAGAATCTATTTTCATTTACTGAAAATTTTGATTGCCAGTATCATTAGTACAAAAACTTCCAGAAACACTTTTGTCGTTCCATCCTTTATAGAGGCTCAGTTCTCAAGTACAAAACAGAAAATGATACCAAGATTTTGGTAAGCATTATAACTACTTTTTTATGCAACATTTCAAATGTCAAAAGCCAGAAAACTAGGAATAAACAACGAATTTAGATAAAAACTCATCCACGCAATACGTGTGTGACTCAGCCTAGTCTTGGCCCCGCCTTCCTCAGTAGCTGTCATCGACAGCAAGGAACCTTAACTGAAAGTCAAATAATCTCGCAGAAAAGCAAGGGGGAAGTGGCAAGTGGAGGGGGTGGGCGTTTCTCCGGGCGAGCATCCTGTAGCTATAGGGCGCCATATTCTGAAACCGAGTCCGGTGTTATGGTCACAAATTCAAGGTGTGCGATGCCCAGTTATCACTAGCGGCGCCCTTCTGTTCGCTATCAGACTTAACAACACATTCGCTCCCACCCTTGCTACAAAAATATACACTTAGCTAGGGCTCCTCCAGCCCCTAAAAGTGGAGTTTGACCTATTTGGGGAAACAGGTGTGCTGTTTTGCGCTTAACCTAGAAGGAAAAGAAAAAACCACAGAAAAGCGAAAACAATTAACATCGTAAGGATTCCCGGTGGCAGAGAATCCAAAAGAATGCTGCGGCAAGGACTGGAGATCAGGCCGCTCCCTCAGCCCCCGGGAGGCGCCGAGCCCAGCTTCGCCGGGGTGCCTCAGCGCGCCTTCCCGAGGGCAAGGGCGGTCCTCCCTCAGCCATCTGTCCCGCCCCGCCCGGAGGGACCCGCCAGGCCCCTAGTGCGCAAGCGCCGACCCGCCAAGTCCGCAGCGCGGCCGGCAGGCAGGGCGCAAGCGCGGAAGCTCCAGGCAAAGGGCGGAGCCAATTTAGGAGGGAGAGTGGAGCGCGCCTAAATCCTAGAGAGGCGGGTCCGGAGCCGGAGGGGACGGCCCTGCTTTCTGGGAGGTCTGCGATTCGGGCGCCGAGCTTTACCGCTCGCCGAGCTCGCGCTTAACGAGACGATGGAGGAGGACATGGGCCCCGCCTGTGCCCGTCTCAGATCTGCGGGCAGAAATCGCAGCTGTCCGCAGGACACGAGGACTCGCGGGAAGCCGGTTCGCGGGACAGCGGGGGGAGGGCAGCACGGCGGGTCTGCGCAGGCGCCCCGCCTTCGCAGGCCACGCCCCCAGCCGCCTTGGCACGCCCTCCGTCTCTTCGGGGAGGCGCGGAGTCGGGCGGTGGGCGGGACCCTGGCTCCGCGGCTGGCTCCGCCCCCGCGGCTTCCTATTGGGCGAGCGAGGGCGTCCCCCTCACACCGCCTTCGTATTGGCGCGCGCGTGCGGACGCCGCGCCCCATTGGTCTGTTCTGATTTGGGCACCAAATTCAAAGATTTTAAAAGTACCAGCTGGCGCCTTTTAAGAGCTACAGCTCGGCGCAGCGGCCTGTCGCCTCTTTCCGGTGGTCGCCGCCGCTTCACCTGCGTCGGAGCCCGCGCCCTCCGGCATGAGCCGGCGCGTTTGCAGCGGTCTGCCCCGGCCGTCCTCCTGCCCCTGCGGCCTCGGCTCGCGGACGGTCCCGGACGGTGAGTGTGGCGGGCATCGTAGGGACGGGTTCCCCGCTCTGTGGCTGCAGCCT